AAAACAAATGACTCAGATCAATGACTCCAATTTGCATCTAACAAATTAGAAATAGAAGAGCAATGAAACCCGAAGTTAACACAAGAATGGAAATAATAAAAATCAGAATGGAAGCCAATGAAATAGAAACCTGAAAAACCAAAGCTGGTTCTTTGATAAGGTCAATGAAACAAAAAAATTGCAGACAAAGAAAAAAAAGATTCTACAAGTTATCAGTATCTGGAATGGCAGATGTGGTATCACTACAAATGATACAGTTATTAAATGAATAAAAGAATGTTATGAACTTTATGCAAATAATTTGACAATTTAAAAATTCTTGAAAGAAGTTAACCAGGTTTACTGAAGAAATATTCAGTTCTATATTAGAAAAATGGAATTTGTGGCCAGGCACGGTAAGCTCATGCCTGTAATCCCAGCACTTTGGGAGGCCAAGGCAGGCGGATCACGAGCTCAGAAGATTGAGACCATCCTGGCTAACACGGTGAAACCCTGTCTCTACTAAAAATACAAAAAAATCAGCCGGGCGTGGTGGCAGGCGCCTGTAGTCCCAGCTATTTGGGAGGCTGAGGCAGGAGAATGGTGTGAACCTGAGAGGTGGAGCTTGCAGTGAGCCAAGATCATGCCACTGCACTCCAGCCTGGGTGACACAGCAAGACTCCATCTCAAAAAAAAAAAAAAAGGAATTTGTAATTTCAGCCTTCCAAATATTTTTAGATGTCTCTGTTTATTGCAACTTTAATTCTGGTATAGTCAAGGAATATAGTTTGCAAAATAATGTTTTAAATTTATTAATATTTATACTCTGTCTTGGTGAATGTTTCATGAACACTTAAAAAGAATGTGGGTTGTTTGGAATGTTTTATATTAACAAATGTCAACCAGGTCAAGTTGGTTGATTATGTTGTTGAGGTCTTCTGTATCCGTACAGATTTTTTGTCTGTTTGTTCTATTAATTACTAAGAGGAGTGATGAAGTCTTCAATGACAATTGTCAATTTGTCTTTCTCTATTTGCAGTTCTATCATTTTTCCTTGCAATTCAATGTGTACTCATTTAGAATTACATTTTCCCAGCCAGATGCGGTGGCTCACACCTGTAATCCCAGCACTTTGGGGTGGCTGAGGCAGGTGGATCACCTGAGGTTGGGAGTTCAAGACCAACATGGTGAAACCCCATCTCTGCTAAAAATACAAAAATTAAGCCAGGCATGCTGGCGGGCACCTGTAGTCCCAGCTACTTGGGAGATTGAGGCAGGAAAATCGCTTGAAGCCGGGAGGGGGAGGTTGCAGTGAGCTGAGATTGCGCCATTGCACTCCAGCCTGGGAGACAAGAGTGAGACGAGACTCTGTCTCAAAAAAATCAATCAATCAATCAATACGTTTTCCCAGTAAACAGACCCTTTTATCATTATGTAATCTTGCTCTTTATCCCTGATTGTATTCCTTGTTCTGAAGTCTACTTCATCTGATAATAATATAGTCATTTCTGCTTTTTTGTTAATGTTTGCATGGTGTATCTTTTCCCTACCATTTAACTTTTATCTATGCCTTTATATTTAAAGTATGTTTCTGGTAGACAGCATATAGTTGGATACTGCTTTTTCATTCAATCATAGAATCTCTGTCTTTTAACTGGTATATTTAGACCATTGACATTTGATATTTTTAAATACATAGTTAGATTAAAATCTATCCACCTTGTTAACTCTATCCTAATTGTTCTATCTGTTCTTTGGTTTTTGTTCTGTTTTTGCCTTCTATGGTCTAAATGACCATTTTTAATAATTCTATTTTATATTATTGTTTACATCTAATTAAACATTTTCAGTTTTTACTTTACATCTTTAATTGGAATATACATTCAAATAATATACAACTTAACATGTTAAGATCTTATATATTCCCATTTTCTCTGACATCCATTATGCTTGTCATATTTTACTTTTATATGCTGTTTACCGGGTACATTTTTACTCTAAGACAGCCAGTTACTTTTTTAGATAAGTTTTAAAAGTTATTACATTCATGTATTCCATTTCCGCATCTCTTCATTTCTTTGTGTATCTCCAAGTGTCTGTTGTGTTTCATAGTCCTTCTGTTTGAAGAACTTTCCTTGTAGAGTAGGTCTTAATGTATTATTCTCTCAGTTTTGTTTCTCTGAGAGTATTTATCAATTTGAAAGATTTTCATGAACATTTCGTGAAGACAGTTTTTTTCTTTAGCTCTTAAAAGATGCCATTACATTGTCCTCTGGCCTGCAGTACTTCTGATAAGTCTGCTGTAAGTTTCTTAACTTTGTTCCTCTGTATGTAATTTTTTCCCTCTCTGGCTTGCTTCAAGATTATTTCCAGTAGTTTGAACATAATATGGCTGAGGTGGGGTGTGTGTGTGTGTGTGTGTGTGTGTGTGTGTGTGTGTGTGTGATTTTAATATTTATCTTTCTTGAGGTTCTCCGAGCTTTAGAGATTTATGTTCTGGATTCATAAATTTTGGAAACATATTGGCCATTATGTCTTCAAATATTTCTTCTGTCCCACTTATTCTATATCTTCTGGGATTCCAATTATGTGTATGTGTTGAACCAATGGATATTTTCTCAGAGCTCTTGGATTCTCTGTTCCTTCTTGTCCTACCCCACCCCACTTATGTTTTAGTTTGAGTAACGTTTATTATCCAAATGTCAAATTCATTTACCTTTTCCTTGACTATGTCAATATTGATGAGCCCATAGAAGACATTGTTCATCTGCTTGTTTTGTCATTCCCAGTATTTCCGTTTTATTCTTATAGTTTTGGTGTCTCTGCTCAAATTACCCATCTAATCTTGCCTATTGTGCACTTTTCCATTACAACTCTTAAGATACTACTCATAGTTCCTTTAAGTTCCATGTCAGTCCAACAGCTATGTATTTCTGAGTCTAGTTGTGATGAATGTTTTGTTTCTTGGTGGGGTAAAGTGTTGATTTTTTTTTTTTTTTTTTGAGACGGAGTCTTGCTCTGTCGCCCAGGCTGGAGCGCAGTGGCCGGATCTCAGCTCACTGCAAGCTCCGCCTCCCGGGTTTACGCCATTCTCCTGCCTCAGCCTCCGGAGTAGCTGGGACTACAGGCGCCCACCACCTCGCCCGGCTAGTTTTTTGTATTTTTAGTAGAGACGGGGTTTCACCGTGTTAGCCAGGATGGTCTCGATCTCCTGACCTCGTGATCCGCCCGTCTCGGCCTCCCTAAGTGCTGGGATTACAGGCTTGAGCCACTGCGCCCGGCCAAGTGTTGATTTTCTGCATTTTTGTATGCCTCATATTTTTTTTTTTTTCTGAAATCCAAGTGTCTTCTGTAGAACAATAGATATGAAGGTAAATGAGTTTAATTCCTGGAAAGGGGATGTTTTTCTATGTAGTCTTTAGCGTGTGGGAGACGGGTGGGTAAGATTTTTATTATTATATCTAGGAATTGAGGAAGACTTATGGTTTGTTGTTGCTGTGGTTATCATAAGTTCACCAAAGGTTTCAGATATGAATAGTGATTCCTTATCTTTAGGGTCAAAACTGATTTTCCCAAGGATCTATCTCAACGTCAGGGTGACCTTAAGGTTTAGGTCCCATTGGATTATGCTTCAGAAACCCCATCTATACTATTTTCATTCATTCAAATATTTATTGAGTGCTTACCATTGAACTATGTGTCATTGTCCTAAATGTTGGAACTTGTAACTCCCCAAATACTCTATTACTATTTGCTATTATTTTATGCATCTGTAATTTTCTCTTTGCCTTCAGTAGCTTTCCAACTTTTGTGTGCCTAGTAAATTCATGTTCTTCCTTTAATACTATCTTCAAAAACAATCCCTGTCCCCATACCTCCATCACCATGAAGTTTATCATCCTCTTCTCGGTACTACCTATGCACCTTATACAGAATTCCGTATTTTATTACCTGAATTCCCTGGTAAACTGTTAAGTGTCTGTTGCAAGGACAGTGTCTTATTCATTTACATATCCCCAGGATTTAGCAGTGATTGGTCCAGGGTATCTACATGCACAACAAATATGCAGCTAAAATGTTTGCTAATGAAAACTGGAAATCTATAGGTGTCTATTAAAAGCAAAATACTGTAATAATGGGCTCTCCTATAACAGTCTAGGAATAAAGCAAAACATTTTTCTTGCCAGTTAAGTTTTCAGGACTTTTAAAAAAACACAAAGTTGATTTCCTTCTTAGTTTGGATATACTTTTAAAATTCATGTAATGCAAAATAATTTAAATAATAAATGATTCAGCCTATTAGGATATAACTGAGTTCCAAGCATTTGGGAGGACACATAAACCCAAAGTTATTTTACCTTTATGGCACTTTCACTAATGCCTTTAAGAGTTTAAGAAAAGGAGAGAATAGACAAAACTAGATGAAACATGGATTTCTGACTAGGCCAGAAATAAATCAGTGAAGATATGCAATCCTCACAAGTAATTCCAAGCTAACTTTATCATGTATTGCCATTCTAATGCTCTCCTGAAATCCCCAGAGGAACAAGAAATGCAATAGGCAATGAGATAAGCCTGAGGAAATTAGATTACTGTGGGCAGGGCATCCTCTTGCTTCTCCCCAGTCTTCAGGTGTGTCACAATTCATTCGGGACTGACATGTATTTGTATGGCAGATTGGCAGAGGAATTAACAAGCTAGAGGGTGTGTATAGAAAAGAGGGCAAAAAAAGGACATGCCTCTGCATGAGTAACCTCTGTGCTGTTTGCTCACCCATTTGCTCCAAGGGGTGGATTTTTATACTTGCTTTACAAATATGAAATAAGAAGTTTAAATGGGAAGTTAGTTGTACTATCCTGTATGCATGCTCACCCCTCACAATTTGGATTATTGTTTTATCAATTGTGGTCAAAGTTAGGATGACCTAACCCATGTACATTCCACAAAGTCATCTTAAACTTTAGGTATTCTCAAAAATAGCTTTTACAGAAGGAAAACTTACACAGAAGAGCCCAACTGTATATGATCCAATTACAAAAAAGTTCTCTGATTTTATTTCTTATATATTTGGCACAAACAGCAGAGACTGAAGGCTACTACACATGTTGAACTGCTGACAAGAAAAGAACCCAGTATATAAATCTAGGGTTTCCACTCCATATATTAGTTTGGGCTGCCATTACAAAACATCATAGACTGGATGGCTTAAACAACGATTTACTTCTCACAGTTCTGAAGCCTGGAAGTCTGAGAACAGGTGGCCAGCATGGTTAGGTTCTGGTTAGGGCTCTCTTCCTGTTTTGTAGACAGCTGGCTTCTTGTTGCATCCTCACATGGTGCAGAGAGGAAGCAGGCTTTCTGATGTCTTTTTTTGTTTGTTTTTGAGACATAGTCTCGCTCTGTCCCCCAGGCTGGCGTGCAGTGGCGTGATCTTGGCTCACTGCAACTTCTGCCTCCTGGGTTCAAGTGATTCTTCTCCCTCCGCCTCCCGAGTAGCTGGGACTACAGGCACGTGCCACCATGCCCGGCTGATTTTGTATTTTTAGTAGAGACGGGGTTTCACCATATTGGCCAGGCTGGTCTCGAAATCCTGACCTCGTGATCCGCCCACCTTGGCCTCCCAAAGTGCTGGGATTACAGGCATGAGCCACTGCGCCCAGCCCAATGTCTCTTCTTATAAAGGCACTAATCCCATCATGAAGGCTCCACCCTCATGACCTCATCTAATTCTAATTGCCTCCCAAATGCCTCATTTCCAAGTAACATCACATTGATGGTGAGGATTTTAACATAATGAATTTTGGCGGGGGGGAACACAAACATTCAGTCCATAACAACTCATATTTCACCACTTATTGCATACCAGTATTGTTACATGAAAATACCAATGTTTATTCATATAAATATAGATGATTTATTTCCAAATAAAACAATACTGATTTCTCCTGGCTCTGAAATCCTTTCTTCATGGTATCTTGGTTCTTTTACTGATAGCTTGTCTCAGCCATGTTAGATGTTCACACCATGAAGATCATATATTCTCATATCCATGGAGATGGTACAATAAGGTTTCTACTGTTACACACCATTATGAGTGAATGATGCCTTTATCTACCTAAAGACTCACTTTTCTTTATTCTCACCCACAAGTCTGTCAGTTGAAAGTGACACCCTGTTTTGCCAAGAAGTTCCTGATATTTGATAGTTTTAGATCTGAGAAAGACTCAAATTCTTTCTTCTGTGACCTTAAACCAGGCTCAGAGCCCCATAATGGACTTCAGAATTATACTTTGTTGTATGTGACCAATGAATTATCTTTAAAACTATGCTGGAAGTAAAATATCAGTCTTTTTTTTTTTTTTTTGACACAGAGTCTTGCTGTGTTGCCCAGTCTGGAGTGCAGTAGCGCAATCTCTGCTCACTGCAACCTCCACCTACTGGGTTCAAGTGATTCTCCTGCCTCAGCCTCTCCAGTAGCTGAGATTACAGGTGCACACCACCATGTCCAGCTAATTTTGTATTTTTCAGTAGAGATGGGGTTTCACTATGTTGGCCAGACTGGTCTCAAACTCTTCACCTCATGATCCACCCGTCTCAGCCTCCCAAAGTGCTGGGGTTACAGGTGTGAGCCACCGTGCCCAGCCAGTGATTCTTATCAAATAAAAAATGATCTTCATTTCCTGCCCAGCCAGTCGTTCTTATCAAATAAAAAATGATCTTCATTTCCAATGGCTGACCAAACTTCTGAGTTTCCTTCAGTTAATTTCAAATCCTGAGGTCAAAATCACCAATGACTTTTGCTCTTTGGCTTTCAAAGTGGGACGTATCATCAAATGGTCCCATATACACAAAATTTACATTATAGACAAATAAATATTTGCCATATCTTTGATAGCCTCATTAGTTGATTTTATAGATTTAAAACAATCTTAGGCTTTTTCTTCAGAATGTGTATTCTGATGTCGAATCAGGGATGAGCTCCGACTATATGCCTTCCCACATTTACTACATTCATAGGGCTTCTCTGAAGAATGACTTCTCTGATGTCGAATAAGGTCGGAGCCACTGCTAAAGGCCTTTCCACATTCATTACATTCATAGGGTTTCTCTCCAGTATGACTTCTTTCATGTAGAATAAGAGATGTGCGCTGACTAAAGGCCTTACCACATGTTTTGCATGTATATGGCTTCTCTCCAGTGTGAATTCTTTCATGTTGGGCAAGGTGTGCGCTCTGGCTGAAGGCCTTCCCACACTGATCACATTCGTAGGGTCTATCTTCAGTATGAATTCTCTTATGTCGCGTGAGAGAGATTCGGTGGCTGAAGGCTTTTCCACATTCCTCGCACTGGTAGGGTTTTTCTCCAGTATGAATTCTTTGATGTTCAATAAGAAATGATTGGCGGCCAAAAACTTTACTACATTTATTGCATTTGAAAGGTTTCTCTTCAGAATGAATGTTCTGATGTATTTTAAGGTTTGCAGTTCCAGAAAACATCTTCCCACATTCCTTACACTCAAATAGTTTCTTTTTCTTTGTATGAACTTTCTGATGTTGAATAAGGGATGAATGCCGATTGCAGACCTTCTCACATTTATTGCATCTGTATAGATTTTCTCCATTATGAATTCTTAGATGCAGAATAAGGGTTGAAAGCCGCCTGAAGAGCTTGTCACATTTATCACATTTGTATGGTTTCTCTGAAGTGTGAATTCTCTGGTGAAGCATCAGGGGTGAAATCCTATTAAAGAATTTCCCACATTTTCTGCATTTATAAGGATTCTCTAAATGGTGATTTCTTTGCTGTAGACTCTGACTTAAGGCCTTCACATTTTCAGGGATTTTCTCTCCAGCATGAATTCTTTTATTTATAACAAGGGCTGATTTCTTTTTGAAGCCTCTCCCACATTTATTATATTTATGTGTTTTCTTTCCATTGTGAATTCTTTTATGAAGTAAAAGGGATGACATCTGACTGAAGGCTTTCCCACACTTTTTGCACTGGCAGACATTCCCAACAACGTGAATTTTCTGATGTATATTGAAAGACTGACATTGACTCAAGGCCTTCTCACAGTCAAGAATTTCCTTTCCACCATGAATTCTCCTATGTAGAATAAGGGTTGTTCTTTGATTGAAGCTTTCCCCACATTTATCACATTCATGGCTTTTCTTTCCACTATGAATTCTCTGATGAAGTACGAGGGATGAGATCTGTCTGAAAGCTTTTCTACAATTACTGCATTCAAAAGGCTTCTCTCCAGTATGAATGTTCTGATGAAGTTTAAGAGAGAAGCTTCGACTAAAGGTTTTACCACAGTCATTACATTTTAAAGGTTTCTTCCTGGAATGCCCTTTCTTAGCCTTTATTAGGACTGAATTTTTGTTGCAGCCACTCTTTCGTGTAGGAGCTTTTGGTTGTGCAGAAACTAGTTTCTGGCAGATGCTTTGCCCAGATTTGCTGCATTGATTTGGAGGTAACTTCTTGGTCTCACACTTAGACCCCGAGTCTGAAAGACATAAATGAATTAAATGTTTCTCCTTTCCTGTGCTGAAAAAATGAAGATTCTACAATATAAATGCAATTATCATTATTAATCATAACAATTTTGATTACCAAAACAATAACTTTTTAGTGTTTTATTATGGTTTTGATGACCATACTAAAGGCTTTACAGAGATATTTAATAACCAGAATTCAGAAGAGTCTGTAATTGGAAAATGAGTAAGTCAAGATTTTATTTATAGGATAACTTTTATGCCATACACTGCACATTGAACTCTACAGGTTGTTCACTGGATAAACATATGTTTATTGGAGAATGTGTCCAGAAAAGGCAAATCTACAGAAACAGAAGATAAGTGGTTGCCTGGGACTCAAGGTAGGAATGAGGATTAACTGTAAATGGGCATGAGGAATCTTACAGGGGTGATAAAAATGTTCTAAAACTGGATTATGTTGATGGTTACACACTCTGTAAATTTATCCAAAATCATTTAATTATATTCTAGATACAGTGACTTTTATGATGTTTACCTTAATAAAGTTGTAGATTTAAAAAAATGTATTCTTAAGATCAAATTGAAAAAGAACTAGTAACAATTAGAACTGAGTACAGTCATGTGTTGCTTAACAATGGGGATATGTTGTAATTCATGCATTGTTAGGCAATTTCATCAATGTGCAAACATCTTACAGTAGATTTACATAAACCTAGATAGTATAGCCTACTATACACCAATGTTATATTGTATAGCCTGTTCCTAGGCTACAAACCTGTACGTGATGTTACTATATTGAATCCTGTAGGCAATTTTAACACTATGATAAGTATTTGTGTATCTAAATATACATAAATGTAGAAAAGGTACAGTACAGATACAGTTTTATGATCTTATAGAACCGTGGCCGTTTATGTAGTCTGTTGTTGACTGAAACATCATTATGCAGCATATCACTGTATGTAGATATTTACAAAGGTGAGGACTTTAACAAGAAGCAGGAAAAACTCAGAAAAATAGGTAAGAGATTAGGCTAAAAGAAGGAATCTATTATTTAGTAAAATAGACCAATATGGCTGGCACAGGGTGTCAAAGTCCAAGATGATATAAAATAACTACTTGTGTAGCAAACTGACTATAAACCTGAGTGAATGTGGAATGATAAACACAGGTTTAGAACTATGCTATCCAATGTAGTAGCCATTAGTCACCTGTAGCTACTGAGGAACCGAAATGTGGCTGGTTTTGAGGTATATTATGAGTATAAAACATATGCCAGATTGTGAAGATTTACTACAAAAAAGTGTAAAGTATCTCATTGTGAAAATACTGGTTATATGATATAATATGTTGGATATATTAGGTTAAATATATTACTAAAATTAATTTTACCTGTTTGTGTTAGGAAGTTCTTATACTGCTATAAATAAATACTTGAGTGGGTAATTTATAAACAAAATAGGTTCAATTGGCTCATGTTCTGCAGGCTGTACAAGCATGGTGCTGGCACCTCCTTGGCTTCTGGGGAGGCCTCGGTGAGCTCTTACTCATGGTGAAAGTCCAAGTAGGAGAAGGCACATCACATGGTGAAACAAGGGTAAAGACAGAGTGTGGAGGTGGTGCCACATATTACAACAATCAGATTTTGTGAGAACTCACTCCCTATTGCTAAGACATCACCAAGGGAATGGTGCTAAACCATTCATGAGAACTCCACCCCCATGATCCAGTCACCTCCCACCAGACCCCACCTCCAACACAGGGGATTAAACTTCAACATGAGATTTGGTGGGGACACAGATCCAAACCGTATCACTGTTTTTAAATTTTTATTTGAATGTGGATACTAAGAAGATTTTGTCAGTACACATGTGGCTCACATTATATTTCTATTTCCTAGCTGTGCTTTAAACACAGACATTACTGAATTAACTGAGGTGTTTTTCATTTAACCACATAAGCTTGTGATTCACTTGTTCACTCTATTACCATAAGCATATTATCTTGAAAATATAGATATAATCACCTACCTCACAAGATTTTCATGAGAATTGGAAATAATGTGCGAACTTTCTGGCACACGCTGTGACCTCTAATCTGCCATTCCAGTATTCAAAAAGCTGAGAACCAAAGTCTTTCCTTTTTTCTTTTCCTTTTTGAATGTTTGGACATTTGGAGTGAAACCCCGTCTGAAATGCAGTAAGGCTGTTCATAGCCTCCATTTATTGTTCTTGGGAAGTCTAGTCTTCGTAGCTATCTCAGTGTGTTTGATTTTGGGGTGCTGCTCCAGTCTCTGCTGGGTATGTTATACCATACATAGTATATGACCTGTTTTCCTTTCTAAACTCTACACAATTCTGAACTGTGAAACACATATTGCTCCAAGGGTTCTAGAGACAGCTTTGTCAACCTGCAGTTGCTTAATAACTGGTAGTAGCTACCATTATAATTATTAATAGAAGTTCTAGAAAACAACCAGACAAAAGAATTAACACAGGAAGACAATGGAAATGTTTATAGTGAAGTTAGCAGCATCAGCAAAACGAGAAACCCAGGATTCCTCCTGTAGTCCTTCCCACCCCACATCCCATTGAGTCACATCACTTAAGCTGCTTCTCCCTCTCACATTTTCCTAAAACTCTTAGCTTCCCTTCCTTTTCCTTGGTACCTTCCTTTGTTCCTTCTTGTGTGGAATACTAACATATCCTCTCAGCCCATCTCCCCATCTTCAATGTGGAAATTCTTAAACCACACCATACACCAAAATTAATCTCAGGTGAATTAGTTCAATATGAAGTACTAAATCATTACAAACTAAAATAATAGGAAATATACCCCAAATTCTAGAAACCAGATGAATTTCTAACTAAGGAAATAAAAAAAAAGAAAAATTACATTGTGAATGCCAACACTTCCAATCACACAAAAATGAAAAAAGTTTCATATAACCAAACAGAAAAATAAGAGGTAAATAAAATAAGTCTTAGGAAAGAATGTGGAAATATTTGAAGTAAAATGTAATGTCATATGGTTAATGCATTTTCTATATGAAAGCTTACTATACAAGCAGAAAATAAAAAACAAAGTCACTGTTAGATAAAAGAAGAAGGATCATGAAAAAACAATTCACGAGAATAATTAAAAACAGAAAACAAATGCTAGCAAATCTACAAGAAAGATTTATGGCCTATCCAGTATGGGTAAACTCATGTGGATATCCAGTCTATTCACAAGGGCTCAAGAAACAAACTGGTACTTCGGAGACTGAGGCAGGAGGACTGCTTGAGCCCAGGAGTTTAAGGCTGCAGTGAGCCATGACTTCTCCACTACACTCCAGCCTGGGTAACAGAAGACCCTGTCCCTATCTCCTTAAAACAAACAAACAAACGTGGTGACTCACACCTTTAATCCCAGCACTTTGGGAGGCAGAGGTGGGTGGATCACGAGGTTAGGAGTTCGAGACTAGCCTGACCAACATGGTGAAACCCCATCTCTACTAAAAACACAAAAATTAGCTGGGTGTGGTGGTGTGTGTCTGTCATCCCAGCTACTCAGGAAGCTGGGGCAGGAGAATTGCATGAACCCAGGAGGCGGAGGATGCAGTGAGCTGAGACGCGCCACTGTACTCCAGCCTAGGCGACAGAGCAAGACTCCATCTCAAAAAACAAAACAACAAAAAAGGAGAAAGTGGAGGAGCCAGATGGCCAAACAGAGCCCTCCAGCGATTGTCCCCTCTGCAGTGACACCAAATTGAACAACTATCCACATAAGAAAACACCTTCATAGGAATCATAAATTAGGTGAGCAATCAAAGTATCAGGTTTTAACACTGTATTCAAAGAAAGAGGCACTGAGGAGGGTAGAAGACAGTCATCATTTGCCTGCACCACCCCTCCCCCAATGCCTGGCAGTGCAGCATGGCAACAAGAGAGAATCTATGTGTTTGGAGGAGGAAGAATAGAGTGATGGTGGGACTTTGCATTGGAACTCAGCGCTGCCCTGTCACAGCAGAAAGCAACGTGGGGCAGAATTTGGCCAGCACCCCCAGAGGAAGCATTTAAATCAACTCTAGCCTGAGAATTGTCCACCACAGTGGTGGAAACGAGTTCCAGCAAGCACCCCCACTACAGACTAAAACACTCTAGTGTCCTAAGTAAATCTGAAAGGCAGTCTAGACCACAAGGACTGCAATTCCTGGGCACGTCCTAGTGCTGTGCTTGGCTCAGAACCAGTGGACTTAGGGTACATGCTACCCAGTGACACACCAGCTGGAGTGGCCACAAGAGTGTTTGTATCAACTCTCTCCCAACTCCTGGCAGCACAGCTGGCAGCTCCAGCAGGAGAGGGAAGAGTAAAGAGGACATTGTCTTGCAACTTGGATATCAGCTCAACCACAGTAAAATAAAGTACCAAGCAGTGTCCTGAAGGCCTCATTCTAGGCCATAGCTCCTGGACAAGATTTCTAGACCTACCCTGGGACAGAAGGGAACTCGCTGCCCTGAAGGGAAAAACAGGCCTGGAAGAATTTACCACCTGATGAATTAAGACCTCTTGGGCTTCAAATAAACATCTGTGGTAGCCAGGCAGTGGTAACCACAGCCCTTGGGCAAGAATGAGTACTATGTTGGCTTCAGATCAGACCCAGCACAGTCCAGTGGTGGTGGCCATGGGAGTTTCTATCACCCCTTCCCCAACTCTAGGCAGCTCAGCAGAGAGAGAGAGAGACTCCATTCATTCAGGGAAAGTAAGGGAAAATAATGACTTCCTGGTAATCTAGGGAATTCTCCTGGATCTTACCAAAAACCACCAAGGCAGTACCTCTGTGAGTCTACAAGAGTCACAGAGTTCCTGGCCATGGGGTGATCCCTAATGCAAACATGGCTGCAGTGAACAAAGACACACCCTAGCCCCTTTGACTATATGGCAAATCTTCTCTGGAAGGACCAGTACAAACAAGCCCAGACTACAAAGATAAGAATAAATACCTAACTCATCAATGACCAGGTAC